CTGCCCTCACACTGCCACCTGTGGGTGCTGGGCAGCCTCGGAAGGAGGGTGTGCCTGGCGTGGTACTGAGCTCTGCTGGATCCAGACATCCCTACAACTGTTCCCAGGGTGCAAAAAAGCCAGAAAATTCCATCTCCGCATCCCAGCCCTCCCCTACCTTCGCTCCAGCCCACATACTCTGCCCGGCAGTTTCTTTCCCTGGAAGAACTTGGCAGTTTGGGCTTCCAGATGTAGCAAAAGCCTCGAAGTCCAGAACCCTCCCCACAGTCTCTCCCCTGACCTTGTCTCTGCCTCCCTTCCCTCTGCTCTCTGCACGCCTTGCCAAGCCTACTGGCTTTATTTCAGCTTCTCAAGCTTGGAATGGGTGGCTCCCTTTGCCTGGAAGGCTTTCTCCACTCCCTTCTTCTTTCATCTTCTGTGTCAGTGAAAATGCTGCCTCCTCCTGGAAGCCTTCCGTCTTTGCGAACAGTAACTACAGCCACGGAAAAAGCCATCACATTCTGGGGGCCCCTGCAGCCTGCACTGAGCTTAGTGTCCCCACTCTGTATCCACACAGCAGCCTGCCGAGGAAGGTATTCTGCTTGTTCCTAATCTACAGCTGGGGAAACCGAGGCACAGAGAGGTCCGGCACATGTATTGAGAATGTGCCCGAGGTCACAGAGGTACTGAGGGACAGATCTGGACTCTGAAGCCAGTCCCTGAGAGCCCAGGCTCTTCCTCACTGCAGGGCGGCACGCATCAACTTGACTCTTGCCAATTGCAAGCGTCCCAGCACTGCGCATGTCCCAGAGAGAAGCCTACCCACGTGGAGGGGTTTACAGCTGCCACACAGGCCATTTCACACCAAGAGATGACATCAAACAAACACCAGAGGTGCGAGAGATCCCGAGCTGGTTCTGCCTTTGTTTTGCCACAGGAGATTTCCACAATTTTTATTTTTGGTGAACTTCTTTTTCATTATGGAAAACTTGAAATGTACGCAACTAGAATAATGTGTCAATCACCCAGATTCAACAGTTAAGACTCACGTGCAATCCTGTTTCACCTACGTCCCACTCCTGCCCCAGTGATTTTTTTTTTTTTAATGATGCTGGGGATCAAACTAGGTACTGTACCACTTAGCTACACCCCCAGGGTCTGGAGGGTTATTTTAAAGCAAATAAAAAAGTCCAAGACACTGTAACATCTTAATCATAACTACTTTGGTTTTAGTTCTAAAAGATAAGAGAATCTTTAAGAAAAGCCACAATACCATTATCACACCTGGAGAAATTATCATCAGACCTATCAGTCAATGTTTAAATTTCTCTGATTGTCTCATAATTGTTTTTACAGCTTTTGCAGATGTCCTTATATTCCTCAAGTCTCTTTTTAAAGCTACATTTGCTCACTTCTGTGTCTCTCTGTCTGTCTCTTTCTGCCTTTCCTCTGCCCTTGACTTTTATTTGTTGCAGAAACCTGGTTATTTGTCCTGTAGTATTTCCCCCAACCTGGCTTTTTGCTTGTATTCCTGTGGGGTCCTTTAACACCTTCCTCTGTCCTCTGTATTTCCTGCAATTAGATCTACAGGCTTGATCAGATTCGGGTTCAATTTTTGGCAACAATACTTCACAGGAGGTGGGGTGTCCTTCTGTCAGGAGCCCATCAGTGAGAGGTTGCCTATGTTCATTGCTTAGATTCATTATTTCATTAGGGATTACAAAATGATATTATTCTAATTCTGTCCTCCTTCTGCATTTATTAGCTGGAATACTTGAAAAAGGGCAGCATTTCCTTATTCACTATTTACACACTTTGAGGTATACGATGATCTCATTCAATACATGCACTAAGTTGGTCAAAGATTCGATTCTATAACAACTCAAATAATGTGTTGGTTTCCTGGCATCCTCAAAGATAATTTTTAAGTGTTCTTATGAACGTAGGGATTTGATGTATTGCAATCTCCCATGATCCTGATAGATGTTCAAATGCCACACTTCTGCCAGATGGGACCTCTTTGGGTGGGTCCTGAGGCCTTTGAGCTCCATAGGCTCTGATGGCGTCTTTGCTTCCTGGAATTGCAAAGTGCTCCAGACAATCGTGTATTTTCTGCCCCAGACCTGAAATCACAATTTCTTTTTGGGTAGTATTTAGAGACCACAATCAAGGTTTAAGCAATTCTTGTTGCTATTGGACTGGTCATTGTCTCTGGGTCTTTTCAGTAGACAGAGCTAGGAAATACCTTTTTTTTTTTTTTTTAACAGATGAACTACATCATAAATCATGACGGCCAAGGTTTGGAAGCAACCTAGTTTCCTTGGATAGGTGATTGGATGATCAACTGTGGTACATCCATACAATGGAATATTATTCAGTTATAAAATGAAATTTAGCTGCACAGTCCACAGTAGCCAAGGTATGGAACCAGCCTAGGTGCCCATCAAAAGATGAAAGGATGAAGAAAAGGTAGCAATACACACAACGGAGTATTATTGAGCCTCGAGGAAGAACAAAATTCTGTCATTGGCAAGAAAATGTATGGACCTGGAGATCATCATGTTGACTGAAATAAGCCAGAATTACTGCATGTTTTCTCTAATATGTGGAATCTAAAAAAGATGACAAGATAGCAGAAGGAAGACTATCATTATATAAGAGGAAGGGAATCTGGGGGGAGGTGGGTATAAGGGTGAGTAGTAAAGGGAATGGACATGAACAAAATATAATACATATTGAAAGCCCCCCCAAAGCAGGAAACTAGAGCAAGGGTGTGATGGGGTAAAAGTGATCAAGTATTTTATGTGCACGTGTGGATCTGCCAAAATGAAACCTGTTAATCTCTGCATCCAGTTAAAAAAAAAAAAAGAGGGAACAAAGAGAAATGATCGTAACTGCGTATTGCTAGGTGAAAGAAGCATGCGTGTAGGCTTCAAGTTCTAGAAAAGGCAAAACTCTGAAGACAGCAGCAAGGTCAGAGGTTGTCCAATGTTGGGAGGAGGGATGGTTTATTTCACCTGTTGTGTGGAGCCCAGGGGCTTTTGAGACCAGTGAAAATATTCTGTGTGATACGACAGTAGCCCTCCTTGATCCATAGCTTTGTTTTTCCCAGTTTTCATTACTTCATGGTCAACTCTGGTCCAAAAACATTAAAAGGAAAAGTCCCCACATAAGCAATTCATAAGGTTTAACTCACACTCCAGTTTGAGTAGCGGGATAAAATCTTGGCGTGTCTCACTTTGTCCCACCTGGAACACGAGTTGCCCTTTTGACTAGCGTATCCGTACTGAGGATGCTACCCACCCGTTAGACGCTTAGCGGCAACCCTGGTTATCAGGGTGACTATGGCAGTGTTGTGGTGCTTGTGTTAAGCAGCTGTGTATCATAATGCCTGTCAATCACTTCACATCTCATTGTACAGGCCTTGTGTCACCCCAGGTCACTGCGGGAAGGGTGAGTGCAATACAACATGAAGAGGGAAGGTGGAGGCAAGGGGGTAGGAAGGGGACATAAACAGAATCAAGATGCGTTCTGTACCAACTCTCCACAAATCATTGTGTACTGCAAAGACGTACTCATAAAACAATAAACTGAATCTTTTTTAAAGAAAGATATTTTGAGAGACTGCATTCATTTAACTTTTATGTCTATTGTTACAAATTATCCTATTTTATTATTAGTTATAGTGTTAATCCCTCACTGTGCCTCATTTATAAATTAAACTTTCTCATAAGTGTGTATACATAGGAAAAAAGTAATGTATATGGGGTTCAATACTATCTGGGATTCAGACAGCCAGGAGGGTTTTGAGTAAGGGAGAGCTAGCAGATAATGGTGGATATATGTCATTACACACTTGACAAAGCCCACAGAACATACAATGCTAAGAGTGAACCCTAAGGTAGATTTGAATTTTAGTTAGTAATAATAATAATGATGGATCCATATCAGCTCATATGTTTGTTATAAAAAATGTAACCCATCAATGCAAGATATTAACCAAGAGGAAAATGGGGAGGGGAGGTAAAAGGGTATGTGGAAACCCCACCATCTGCTTAATTGTCCTGTAAACCTAAAATTCCTGAAAAATAAATATCCATTTTTAGAAATCATGTGTTCACATTGACATTTCTAATTTAAATGCAGGCTATAGTGTTTTTGTTTAGCTTCATCCATATTACATCTGTGAAAGATTCTAATCTGCTGAGTCCATTTAACACACACAACACTCTGAGATACCCTGGTGCCACTGTGTCATAGTTCACGTGAGCTCCTGTACCACAATACCTTAGACTGAGAAATTTATAAACCACCAAATGTATTGTTCGCATTTCCAGAGCCTGGGGAGTCCAAGATCAGGGCATCAGCAGATCTGGTGTCTGGTGACTACTCCAAAGACGGGCTGTCTAGACGTGTCCTTCCATGGTGGAGGTTGAAAGGGACAGACAGGCTCCCTCCAACTTTTTTGGAAGGCTGTAAATCCCATTCCTCATTGCCTCACAAAGACCTGATTTCTTCATACCACGATGGAGCTTGGGTTTCAATGCAGGAATTTGGTAGAACAGACAAAAATTCAACCACAGTACCCCAAATACTATTTGTTTTTTCTTTTGCAATTTATGTACTTTTTTTTTTTAGTACTGGGGATTGTGTTTAGGGCCTTTGCACTGAATTATATATTTCCCCAGCCTTTAAAAAATTTATTTTGAGACAGGATCTCACGAAGTTGCTACATTGCCCAGGCTAGTTGAGGGTTTAGACAACCCCACGTGGAAGGCATTTACCTCATGTTTTGAAGAAGAAACTAGGACTCAGTGAGATTTGAACTCATATCTCTCAGATTTCTAAGTGTTTCTGGAGTGCCTGTGTCTGTTCCAGACCCCATCCCGGGTACTGCGATACAGAGATCACTCAGCTGGGTCCTGACCTCATGGGGCTCAGATCTAATGGGGCCCCTCATGTCTGAGTGTAAAGTTGTGGTTTAGCATTGTCTGTCTGTCTGTCTTTCTGTCCACCCACAGCACAAGGAGCTCCACAAAGAAATCTGTAGCCGGTCCACTGTAATTGATGGCGCAGAACTGCAGAAATGAGTGGGTGTTTGTTGACTAAGAAAATAAAGGAACGTGGAAGAAAAGGTAAAAAGAAAACAAAGCTTGAGGTCCTTATGGAAGTCTCATGCCTCAGACTCAGAGAGTTCTGTAAAAAAAATTAATGACTTTTAAGTTATGAATATAATTCATTATAGAGATTTTGGAAAGTCTCAAAAATGAGAACAGAAATAACCATAACTCTCAGAGTTAGTCTTTTTGTTTATTCTTTTGATTTTCTGTATATAAGAGTAGCCTTTTCAAAAAAACATTTGGATCATTATATATAATATATATATTTCTATAGTTTGCATTTAAAAAATTAATAGTATATCATGAATATTTTCCTAATTGAACATCCTTTTAAGCCCAAGTGTCTACTTAGGGGTTGGATTTATTTTCACCAGTGATGGCATTCTATACCATATAAAATAATTGTAAACTCAAGATTAAGGCTGAAATCACAACAGGAGGAATATTTTACAGGCTTCCAGGCTGCACACTATCTTACTCAGATTGCATCATCCTCCCTGGCAAACACCCAGGAAAACACAGCTCGGTACTTTCACTTTCTTTTCTTTTTTGTTTTTGTGTACCAGGGATCAAACTCAGGACCTTGCACTTGCAAGGCAGGTGCAGTGCCACCGAGCTAAATCCTTAGCCCTTGCTTTCTTTCTGCAGTTCTGTCACTTTCTGCAGTTCTGATCTCTCCAGGCACCATGAAAAGTCACTCTTGGCTGCAGAGAAGAGTTCCTGATACAAGCATTAGAGAGTGGTGATTAAGAGTTTGCTCCACCTAAGCCCAGCCTCACTGAGGTGGCTGTATGACCTTGGCCAAGGAACTTCACTTCTGTGTGTTTCCGTTCCCTCATTGTTAATTCGGGGCAACGGCTGTACCTGCTTCCCCAGAAGTTGAATCAATAGCTATGCACTATGAGATGCCACGAATAAATATTATTATCCCAACTGTGTTGGAGTGTGCTCTCTTTCCACCCAGCCATTTGCTGGGCTCAGAGTTGCTCTTGGCAGCTTGTCTGGATGCCGGATAATCCAGGCCTTGTGGTACCTGTGCAGCCGCCCCCACAAGGCTGGAGGCCCTGGGTGTGCATGTCTCGGGCATGCCCTGTGCCCCAGTCAATGCAGCATAAGCTGCCAGACTCCACAAAACCACTACCAGGGGTGTATGCTTCGATTTTGTCCCAAGATGAATGAAAATAATCATGGGAAACGCTATCGTGTAGTAAATAAGTTCATGGCTTTTGGTGTTAGTGCAGGCTCAGGTTCTGGCTACTACACTTTGAGCAAACCATTTCCAATCTCTGACCCCAGTTCCATTAACAATAAGCTGCAAATGATAATTGTGATGATGGTTTTGTTTTGTCCCCAACCCATTACCCATTACTCTGATTTTGTTCCCCTGTTGGATGAATTAGTTATTTCCTCCTTTGAACCATGATTTCATTCCCAGGCTTCCTGAGTAGGGCATGTGACCAGGGTTAAGCCAATCATGGGCATTCCATCACCTGGCCACAGTGATTGGTCCAGAGGGGTCATGTGAACCAAGCCAGTCCAATAAATTGAATCTCCAGGCTTTTACTGGAGCCAGTCTTGAACCACCTCTTGAGCTATGGTCTTGAAGCTATACGGATGTAAGAGCAGCCACTTCAAAGCTATCTCACTCCCAAATGAGACTGGTTGTCTATAATGGAGCTGCTGCAGGAGAGGTAGAGCCAAGAGAAATGACAGTATAGTGTGCAACTTTTGAGCCTGTCCAGGAAGCCAACTGTGGTTTTTCCATGCTCATTTGAGTTGAGTATTCTGTCACTTTCAACGAAAACTATCATGCCTGCAATAACAATAAAGGTTGAGTATCCTTTATCCAAAATGCTTGGGACCAAGAAGTGTTAAAGATTTCAGATTTGGGGATACTTTCATGTAATTTATCAGTTAAGCATCTCTACTCTCAAAATCCAAAACTTTTCGAATTCCGTGTCAAGGCTCAAAAAGCTTCAGATCTTGGAGTATTTTAGATTTTGGCTTTTCAGGGAAAGATACTGAATCTGTAATACCTGCTTCTACCTTGAATTGTTAGAAGGATTTCCTAAGGAAATATACAAATTCCTTGATATAGTGTTTGGTATAATGTAAGTCTTAATAAATGGTAGTTATTTATATTGTTGTAAGGGCCAGGGATTCAGCTTAGTGATGCTGCCGTCTACCTCTCAAGTGTAAGGTCCCAAGTCTGAAAAAAAAAAAAAAAAAAAAAAGAAAAAAATAAAAAGAAGATTTATTTATATTTTTGTTGTAAACTTATCTGTAGAAAAATAAGTAAGTGCAGATAAAACAAAGACAGGAAAAATGCACATTATTCTTAATATGACCTTGTAGGGTAGGTAAGTATTTTGAAATGTTTTTCTTCCAGATATTACATGTATATGTATATATTTATGTATGTACTATACAATTATACAAATAAGATGGGAATGGATAAAGGCAATGTGGCATTAACACACAATGGAACACTACTGTGCCCTAAAGAATGATAAGCTTGAGTCGTTTGTAGGAAGATGGATGCCCCTTGTGACCATGATGTTAAGTGAAATAGTTCAGACCCTTGAGTTTAAATAGCACCTAGTTTCTCTTATGTGAGAAACCCAGATGATAAATCAAGAGCGAAATAAAAGATGACAGGAAGTATGGAGATAGAGCTTTCTCAATTGGGAAGGGGACGAAGAGATGGAGGGAGAGGGAGGGGAGGGAAGGAAAGAGGATGAGAAAAAGGAATGAAGATGCGTTGTGCACCGGTACCCACTCTGCACAGGTTAGGGTTAGGGAGTGTAAGATGTCACGCACTGCCAATGTGTACTGATGACAATAAAAGTAACAAATGAAATTATGGGGAGGTGATGCTGCCTTTTAATCCATTTCAATTGGGCATAAATAAGTAAAAAACACCATAAATGTATATATGCTCAGAGGTCATTTTTAACCACTGATCGACATTCCACATTTGTGTCGGCCTTTGAGAGGATCACCAAGTTTTTGTGCAGTAAAACTGATGACGTTCTGCACCACATCAATTGGCTGACCTACATCTTCGTGCAGTTCATAACTGTCTCCCAGTCCCTAAGGGTAGGATCACAGAATCTAAAAGTTTTAAAGATTAAAGAAAACCCTTCCGTTGTGATTTAATCATTGGAATGTTTAATTTTTGAATATAATGTATTATTAAGGATTTAAAAGCCTTTGCCAGGAGGAAGGGAGCCCAGTTCCGTGGGCTCCAAATCCTGTCCTACTTTACATTCTTCCTCTGCACTGAGGTCATGAATCTTGATGACCACCCAGGAGAGCAGGGACTGCGGGGGACTGGGGTCCTCAGAGCTTGGACATGAAGCTGCAAGACCAAAAGCTGGTTCAGCCTCTCCACTCGGGGGACCCGCCCTTGCACAGCCCCATCTTTCCTTCTGGATTTTTCTGGGAGGAACACACCCCCTACACACACATACACACACACACACTCTCTCTCTCTCTCTCTCTCTCTCTCTCTCTCTCTCTCTCTCTCTCGGTGTCTAACATACACCCATAGGGAAGTCCTGGTTGCCATTTCATTTTGAAAGAAAGATGTACAATCACACCTCTTTGTATATGACATGCTCATTCTGCAGAAAACCCAATCTACAAGAAAGCTCCAAGAAATAATAAATTTAGTAAAGGTGAAAGATACAAATCAAAATGCAAAAATCAAAATATAGAATCCTGGCAACAAACCATTATAAAGTAAGTCTGGTGTTGAGGATCTGAGTTGCATACATGCGAGGGAAGCACTTCACCACTGAGCTACATCCCCAGCCCCAGCCCCTTTTTGTTTTATTTTGAGATCATTCTGTTTGGTTGCCCAGGTCAGCCTTGAACTGTGGGATCCTCCTGACTCAGTCTCTTGAGTAGCTAGGATTACATATATGCACCATCAAGTCTAGCTATCAATTAACTTCTTTTATTTTTTTGACATGTTCTCTCTAGGTAGTTTAAGCTGGTTTTAGACTCACCATGTAGCCCTGGGTGGCCTTGAACTCATGGCAATCCTCCTGCTTCAACCTCCTGAGGGCTGGGACAATAGGTATGCACCACCCCTCCCAACTAACAGTGTTATTGAGGCCTCACTCACAGAAGTCCTGCTTGCTGTTTCATGACTCCTCCATGCCCCTCACCATCTCTGCCACTGAGCTTCGGGACGGAGCTGCCTACCATGGCCAAAGGCCCTGCAGCGTCCAGCTGCTCTGAGCCTCCTGGGGCCCTCTGGAGATGAACGAGGCTGCTGCTTTGCTTGTGATTGCTGCCACCAGTTCACATGCATGGCTTCCCTGGGTGCACCATCCAGTAGTGGAACCCTGGTGCTCCCAGGACTGTGGAGGAGGTGAGGTCACTCTGGCTGATGCTTGGTTAGAGGACCCCTCAGCAGGACTGCATGGGCACAAGGAGAGTTAGAGCCCAGGGAAACAGGGCTCCCTTCTGCACACCCCCTTGTCCATTGTGTGTAAATGCCACATTTTCTTTATCCATTCCCATCTTAAGTGTATAAATGTATATAGTACAAACATAAATACATAATATATACATATAATATCAAGAATGCCACCTGTGAGACCCATACCCACTGTCCTTGAGCCCTCGGCTGAGCTTGGTTTATTCTGGCTCTCTTCCTCCTGGGACAGAGTCTTTCTCAGGGATGCACTGTTCCTCCCTCAAACCCTGCTCCCAGGGGCTGCCCAATCAAAAGGCCTGGGTAAGAGCCAGGGATTTAGCTCAGTGGTTCCGCTTCCTGCCTCACAAGCACAAGGACCAGAGTTCAATCCCCGGTACCTGGGTGGCTACAGACCTCAGCCCCAGCCTCAGGGTCCATCCCATGACACAGATGCAGCAAGAGGCTCAGAGTGGCCCTTACACGCCCGAGGCCTCCCAGCAAGTCACGATGGAGCCAGAATTCGAGCCCCTTTCTCTCTGCCACCAAGATTTGCCACATCCCCAAGGGCCAGTCTGTGTCCCGGGAGCTTCTGAAACCAGGTCCAAGCCATTTTGAGCAGCGAGTTTACTGGGCAGAGGATGTGAGATGGTGAATGGCCGGGCGCTGCCCAGGGCTAACTCGTTGACATCCCCTCCCCTCAGTCTGCATCACTGGATTCCAGCCTCTGAGAACCCCACCCCAGGGCCACGGTGGAGCCTTCTCCCCTCACATCCGCACCACACCTAGCTTTCTGCCCTAGGCCTTCTGACTTGAAGGCAGGGTCACCTGCTAAGGCCGGGCTGATGGTGTTGAGATGGGTTGGGCAGAGCAAGGCTGGGCTTTGACAGGCAGCTGAGCTCACCCCCACCCCATTCCAGCTGGCTCCAGAAAGGAAGCGGGGGTGGGGGCAACTTCACAGGGAAACTTTTGTTCTTGCTTAGAACAGACACAGGCCGGGCCGGGGACCGAGCTTCCCCTTGGCTGCCACAGAGACCCGGGCCACTTGAGTTCATGTTTATTTTCACAGCATGGATTCCATGGAGATTGTCCTCCAGACAGGGAAGCTCTGGGAAGAAGGCACTGGCCTCACGGAGTACCTACTGTGTGCTAGGTCAAAGGCAGACAGGAGCCAGCGGGACATGGAAGACAGACACCCAGACACCCTAGATGGAGGGGAAGGTAGCCAAGGTTCAGAGAGGTGAAACCACTTGCCCCAGGTCACACAGCAGTTACTAGAGAGCTGCAGGGGAGGCCACTTGCTCCCTGGGCTCTTTCAACCGTGTACCTGAATGACAGGCAGAGGGACTCAGTGTCCCTGAGGCTTCATGGAGGATGGGCTACCTGGGGCTCCTCACGGCCCAGAGTCCTTGGAGCTGGGTGGGCAAGAGTGTGGGCAGCACTCGCAAGACATAGGCTGTGAGCAGGTGTAGTGGTGCCAG